GAGAATGTGGATCATAAAAGTGCTTCAAGTGTATGAACCAAGCATTGAAAACAAAGCTGACAGGAGGGTAAGCCATTAAAAATGATTGCATAGTAATTAAAACTGTACCATTTCAGCATATTCACGATGGTTAATACAATCACATTCTATGTCTACTCTTGGCATAATTTACAAAAACCAATGCCAGAATACATTACTCTTTTACAAAACGTTAACTCTAAATTCCAATTACTTTCCTGCAGGCCTTGCGAGAGCAGCGTTGAAATGGTTTGAGGCCTTGCTCTGCATCATCTACACGGCAAGGTTATAGAAATTTCAGACAATGGAAAAAAAAAAAAAAAATTCCAATTACTGATAACTTTGAATTGTGAAATACCTTGGCAATGGAATTGCAGCAATCAAGTTGGCAAATGAAAGAAACCAGGCTAGATAAATTGAAACTGGATTCAGCCACACATGTCATCTTTAGAGCTGCCATATATCAGAGTAACAAGAGAGATTCCTTAAGATAAAATCTCTCCTTTCTGCACTTCTGGGCATTTCCCTCCACTGTCTGTCCTGGTGGTTCAGCTTTGGAGTCCTAGGGCCCTGCACTGCCAGTAGGGCTCCCTACTCAGCCATGCCAGATCCTGTGGCCAAAGTCACTGCGGGGATGCCTCCTGCCCTCCCTCAACACCCCCAAAGGCACTTCTCCCCTAAATCACTGCTGAAGGAAGACAAAGCACTTCTGCCTCCTCCTTCCCCTTGTTGAGGCCTGTGCTGCTTGAAAACACTCAAAATTTCTCCTCAAGCCATTTGCTGTCCACACTTACAAGGGACCTCAGTCCCAAAATATTTTATTAATCAAAATTACTATATAATAAATCAAGTTAGAAATAGGTCTTCCTTAGTGTTTCTGGTCAAAAGAAATATTTATAGGAGTCACAAAAAGGAGAAATTGTGAGCCCTGATTAATGTGGGATTCCCTGAGGGTCTCCATATATTTGTGCTTTCCAGAAGATACAGGATAGTAAATGGGTCCAAGGCACCTATGGATTTGTAATTTTTATCATCAGAGTCAAAATGAAGTTATCAAAGTTCCAACCAGTTACAAATAAAAAAGCCACCTGACTTTCCAAAGTAATTTCAACCATCATTAAAATAGATACACTATCCCCAGGGATTAAAAAAAAAAATAAGAAGAAAAAGAAATTGTATAGAACTTAATCCTCTACAATGCTCAATAAACTTAGATTTCTGGTGGGAGAGCCACCATAAACGAGGGTGTAATTTGGGACCAAAGGAAAAAGATGGGCATGAAAGCTGAGTGATTATGGACTATCTGTAGGAGAAGAGGTGAATAAAAAAGAAAAAGAAGAAAACTCTTTGTAGAAATGTTTTCTTAACTATATCTTTACCACAATAATAAAGGGAAAGAGGGAGGAATTACCTTGAGAACTAACTAGCAGACAAAATTTTACTTAAAATTTGTATTCTTTTTGGAGCTGTATGCATGGAGAATTTAACAAGATCTCAAATCTCCAGAGAACCTGAACAAAGCGTTTTGTCTCTCCTTTCCATGGCTCAGAGAGTCAGTTATGGGGATGTCAGACTCTAACCTGCTCACAGCACACCCCAAAGCACAGTGAGCTGAATGTGAAAGGAGTGTGATCTGGAGAGTATCTTCATACCTGCCATTCCTTCCCCAGTTCTACCTGAGCACCTGTTCCTTCCCTTCACTAGGTCTCTGCTGACATATCCTCTTACTGGTGGTGGCCTTCTTACTGCCCCATCCAAAGGATCAAAGCATATATCCAGGCTCACTGTCTCCATCAAAATTGACAATCTCTGCCTTCCAATTAATTCCAATTTATAGCAACACTCCATTGGGTTTCTGAGGCTCAAGTCAAAATGGCAGAAGGCAGCCCACAGAGCCACTGGTGGATTCAAACAGCCAATGACACAGCCTTTGAATTATCAGGGGACCTGGCCATGGACTATGCCAGAGTGCCCTCAGTATCCTTTTAGTGTTTTATTTTCCTTATGACATAAAAAAAAAGTGGCATCTACTTCCTAAATAACATGCCCCTGGAAACTCTATGAACTTTGATAAATGATGATACAGAAAGGCTTCAGGTCTTTTTTTTTTCCCATTGGGTCTCTATGAGTTGTGCTCAACTCGACAGCAGTCAACAACAATAATCTTCTCTCTCAGGAACAGGTTTGAGGCCTTGAACACTAATGAGCGAAGACCAGATGAGCTGTGGGAGGATATCAAGGGTATCATCCAAGAGAGTGCAAACTAACATTGCAAAGACAGAAGAAGAAGAAGAAAAGACAAAAATGGATGTCAGAAGAGACTCTGAATATTGCACTGGAGCACAGAAAAGCCAAAGCAGAAGGTAGAATTCAAGATACTAAAGAGGTGAATCTGGAAGCAGGAGCAGCATCCACTTTCGAAATGGTTTGCCTCCGGAAACTCTATGTACTAACAGTGCTCAGGCCGTTCGTTCATAGGGTCGCTATGAATCGTCTACGACTCAACGACATCAAACAACAACACAACAAAGAGGTGAATAGAAGATTTCAAAAGGCAGCGCAGGATGGCAAAGTAAAATATTACAATGAAATGTAAAGGAGTTGGAGTTAGAAAATCAAAAAGGTCAAACTCGCTCAGCATTTCTTAAGCTCAAGGAACTGAAGAACAAATTCAAACTTTGAGTTGCTATAATCAAGGATGCTTTGGGTAGAATATTAAATGATCCAGGTAGTATTAAAAGAAGATGGAAAGAATATACCGAGTCACTGTATCAAAAGGAATTGTCAGACACAGAAGAATTTCATGAAACAACATATGAGCAAGAGCCTATGGTGATGAAGGAAGAAGTCCAGGCTGCTTTGAAGGATATAGTAAAAAATAAGGCCCCAGGAATAGATGGTATACCAACTGACACATTTCAGCTAACAGATGCTGCCCTGGACGTGCTCACCAGGTAATGCCAAGAAATCTGGAGAACAACCACTTGGCCAACTGACTGGAAGAGATCTATATTTGTTCCCATCCCAAAGAAAGGTGACCCAACAGAGTGTGGAAACTATAGAACAATCTCATTGATGTCACATGCAAGCAAGATTCTACTGAAGATTATCAAAAAAAGACTGGAACAGCACATCAGCAGAGAACTGCCAGAAGTCCAGGCTGGGTTTAGAAGGGGTTGTGGTACTAGGGATATTGTAGCGGATGTTAGATGGATCTTGGCTGAAAGCAGGGATTACCAGAGGAATGTCTATTTGTGTTTCATTGATTATGCAAAGGCGTTTGACTGTGTGGATCATAACAACTATGGCTGACTCTGAGAAGAATGGGAATCCCAGAACACTTGATCATGCTAATGAGAAACCTATACTTGCACCAAGAGGCAGTCATCAGAAAAGAAAAAGGAAACACTGCATGGTTCAAAATTGGGAAGGGCATACGCCAGGGATGTGTCCTGTCTCCATACCTTTTCAACCTGTATGCAGAACAGATTATCGGGGAGGCTGGGCTCTATGAGGAGAAATGTGGGGTCAGGATTGGTGGAAGATCTATCAACAATCTCTGTTATGCAGATGACACACCCTGCTTGCTGAAACTGAGGAGGACCTGAAGCGCTTATTGCAGAGGGTCAAAGAGTGCAGCCTTCAATATGGATTGAGTCTCAATGTCAAGAAGACAAAGATTCTCACCACTGGATCAATTGGCAGCATCAGGATGGATGGTGAAGAGATTGATATTGTTCACAGCTTTAGTTTGCTTGGCTCCACAGTCAACACTCTTGGTACCAATAGCCAGGAAATTAAAAGACATACTGCGATGGGAAAGTCTGCTGTTAGGGATCTTTCCAAAGTTCCAAAGAACAATGGTGTCTCTCTGGAGATTCAGGTGTATCTGATACAGGCCATGGTCTTTCCAATCACTTGTTATGCATCAGAGAGTTGGACAATGACTAGGAAGGATAGAAGGAGAACTGACGTTTTTGAGCTGTGGTGCAGGAGAAGTGTATTGAGGGTACCATGGGCTGCTAGGAAAACAGATTCATCCTGGAGAGGGTTAAACCGGGCAGCTCCTTGGAGGCAAGGATTCTGAGGCTCCATCTAACATATTTTGGACATGTTGTAAGGAGAGACAGGTCCTTGGAGAGAGAGATAATGCTTGGTAGGATGGAGGGACAGTGCAGGAGGGGAAGGCCCTCTATGAGGTGGATTGATTTAGTGACTGCGGCAATCAGGATGGGTGTGTCGGAGACAGTGCGATTGGCACAGGACAGAGCAGAGTTTAGGGTTGTTGTACATAAGGTTGTTATGAGTCGCAAGTGACTTGACAGCAAATAACAGTAACAACAGTAGTAGTGAGCTCTGGTGGCCTGGTGGTAAGGTGCTGCCAACCTGCAGGCACATGGTTCAAATCCACCAGTTGCTCCATGATAGAAAAATGGGCAATCTCACCCCATAAGATTTATTGCCTCAGAAACCCTGCTGGAGGGTCAGCTAAGGATCGGCTCTGACTCAATGGTACATAGCAGCAACAATAACCTCGCATATTATAGATGCATTTGTTTAAATGTTTATTTTCTACCCCTCTCCTCTTCACTCACTCAAATGTAAGCCCTATGAGGGAGGACTTTGGCTTTTGTGTTAGTTTTTTTTTGTTTAACTACTGTATCCCAGTTTTTTAGAGTACCTAGAATGCAATGTCAATGGTTAACAAACATTCATCGAACAAATCAATGCAAGTACTAGAAATATTTTTGCCAAATGTTACAACTCTTTAGCTATCTTTCCAGCAAGCTTTAAAAGCAAACATATTTCTTGAGACATACACAAGGGGGATGATGTTAGTGTGGGTCTTTAAACAAACATATGCATCTTAGTAATCCTAAGACTTTACAGAAAGTCAATTTCTCTTCCAATATTCCCAGGCTATATATAAACACACTAATTGCCCTATGTCCCAAATCCCAAGTTATCAGAAGAACCCTTACCATACTGATCTGAACTGCTGGTGAAGAGAAGGTAATCAGAAGCACAAGTCTGGGATTCGATATCCAAATCGCCCAACCTCAGAATCAGTCGCTTCCCCTTGGGTACTGTAATAGTCTTTTCACAAACAGTGTGATTGGGGTAAGTCCCAGGATAATTCTTAGATGTCATTGTACCGCTGTCCTGATAGGTCACTATGTGGCCACAACCATCACCTGTTAAAAAAAAAAAAAAAGGTGAAAGAATAAGTAAAATTCACTCTAAAGACTCTAGGACTGCAAGACTCTAGTACAATGCCTATGCATTTTATTCCTTCTTTGGAGAAAGGAAAAAGATTAAAAGTGAAGATTGAATCATCAAATAGGATCCACTGTTTCCATTTATTCTAGCTTTTGCTTCCCAGTTTACTCATCTCAACATTGATGATGAAAATCTTTCATACAGTAGAAGAGATAGCCCTTGTTATTTATTATGTTGTGTATCGCAGAGTCAGAACCAACCCATAGCTGATTCTCCGGTGAGTTTTCAGAGGCAGTTAATCACACAGAAGGAGACTGCCCATCGTTCTCCTGTAGAGCAGCTGGTGGCCTGGAACTGCATGCCTTCAAGATTGCAGTGCAGCTTCTTGCCACTAGGGCCATCAGAGTTCCCCCTTAGTAAATACATTACTTAATCATATTACTATTTCCAATCATCTATTGATCAATTCATTCATTTAAATCTCTACAGTAGGCCCTTGACATTTGTAGTTTTGTTAGCAAGCCATCCCACCAGTCAATGTTAGATAAGACCTTGGAAAGAGAAAACACTATGACGCACTTCAGAAGGCGGCTGTCCTGATTAAATGTGATACTGTCTACAGAACACTTCTGACAGAACCTAAAACTTAGGTTGGGAAGCCTTGTCATTTCGCTGTTGTCTATCAATCACTCAACATGCATCTCACTCAGTCACAGTCACAATCATGATGACTTCTGATAGACTCGGAATGAATCTTTAAAGAATATCAGCTAGATGGAGGCACTCTTACTGTAACGGAAGACAGTTCCACATTTGCCTGATAGCAGGTGCTGCGTGCTATATCAGGAGTCTATATACAGTGCCTTAGGAATGCAGAGGAAGAAGACAATAAATTTCCATGAATTATAAGCACTTCCCCTAAAAGAATAAATTATCTGAAGGTTTTTCTAAACGTGACCATGCACAGCTGGGTGAGCTGCATGGTGAATGAGCTTGCACGGGAGTGAGACTATAATATTAGCGTTAGCACTGGCCCATATGGATAAAACAAGACTTCCCAATGTCAGCAGGAGGGACAGGAAGCAAGAATCCACCGGGAAGGAAACGCTCTAAGCTGAACGGGAGTTGCTCCACATTTAAGTATGAAGCTCCATCTTGGGTACACAAATTGGGATTCTGAAGCCTCCCTCCCATCCTCCTTTGCAGATTCCCTTCCTAAGCCTCTTTCCTGAGGGCACTGGTAGTTTAATGGTGGAATTTATCTTGTAGTGGGAACTTTTGTGCTATGGATCTGCTTTTGAAAATCAGGGAGTTAAAACTCTGTGGATTGCTACAGTCTGATCTCATTGTGCTTGGTGTCTTCAGAGTCTCTGCTGACTCAGAGGTAGCTAACAAAGCCTCTTCTCTGACTAAAGAGAAGTTCACTTGCTGTTGCCCTGGAGTCAAATGTGATTCAGAGGACCCTATCTGTCCTATCCTGCACCATTCTTATCATCCTTGATACACCGGAATCCACTGACACAGTGTATCAATTCATCTCCTCTTCCTATCCTTCCTTGACCCTCTTCCGTATGATGTTCCTTTCCAAGGAAGAGCCTCTAGTAACAACTTGTTCAAAATACAGGACACGAAGCTTCATGATCTCTGCTCCAAGGAACACAGTGGTTGCCTTTTCTTCAAAAAAGTAACACATTTCACTTCTGAAAATCAGTCAGCATAAACTCTATGGATCACTATGGTCTGCTGTCATTGAGCAGGGTGTCTCACTGGCAGCTAAAAAGGAAACCTCTTTCATTTTTCCTTTACTTCCTTCTAATATAGCAATTGGGATGGGTGTAGGAGATGGTGCGAATGGCACAGGCCAGAGTGGAGTTTAGGGCTGTTGTACATAGGGTCGCTATGAGCAAGCGACTCCACTGCACATAACAACAACAACAACAATAATATAGCCTCAGGCTGATCTTGACCTTAAACAAGCAAATGAAATAAATAGCTACCCAACCTTAGAATCCACCCAGTATCTCAGCAGCCCTGGGAAAGGGAAAGGATCTAATTTATTATTCCTCTCACAAAGGGGAAGAACTTTCTGAAAGGAATATATGATTAAGCATCTTATGTATGGCAATAATTTGGAACAAGATGTGCATTGCAAAGTGGACTGGGGGCCGGGGGAGAGTGAAAGGGAGGGAAAAAAAAGTACAACAATGAATGAATGAATAAAAGTGCAACAATGAATGAATGAATGAATAAAAGTGCAACAATGAATGAATGAATGAATGACTAAAAAACCAAAACTAAAACAAATAATCTCTCACAAGACAAGAAAGCTAGCAGCTCTGTGTTTCCCCCAAGCCCCACTGCTGTAGAATTGATTCTTACTCACCATGGTTCTCCATCCAATTTTGAAGGCCCATCTTTCTCCCTTGGAGCCTCTGGTCAATTGCTGACCATTTTTTTGGTTAGCAGCCCTACACATAACACTATGCCAAAGGGAAGGGTGGGGGCATGTTAGATAAGACTGGTGAAGATAAAGCTACTATGATCCTTTGAGGTCCAGGAAAAAGAAGTTGAGGAATTTACACCTTAGGCAATAGGAAATTAGGGACGCTTTTGAGTAGGGAGATAACAGAAGAAGTATTTGAAATGTCAAGATCAATCTAATTGTGTAATAACCAAAAGAGCTAGAGTAAAGAAGGGCTCTGGAACAGGGGGGCAGTGTCAGGTCTGGGGAGGGAGTAGCTGGAAGGGCACGAAAGAGAAAAAAACGATATGGGGAAACTCAGATGGAAAATTAAAGCTCATACCAGTGATAATAGGAAACAACAGGAGGAGGAAAGCTCCAAGATTTTGAGTCTATAAATGATTAGAAAGCTGTTGCTGATTTAGAGAGAGGACAGTCCAGAGATAGAAAGTTCCAGGGCAAAGGTTGTAAATTTAGTTGAGCTTGAAGTGACAGCTAAATTATTAGTGTTTTCCTCTTTTTCACTCACTCTCTATTTTAACAAAAGAGCTCTCTGGAGGCTTCGTGGCAAGTTGTGCTGACAACCCAATGGCATGTAGTTTAAATCTACCAGCTGCTCTGTAGAAGACAGATGGGCAATCTCCTTCCGTGTAATTTTCTGCCTTTGAAAACCTATTGAGAGGGTTAGCTACAGGTTGGTTCCAAGTCACTGGTACATAACAACAAATACTTTTCCAGGCATAATAACCTTCTCCTTCCTGGTAACATGCTCACTGCACATGCAAGGAAGTCTCATCACCCCTGCTTCTAATTAAGTACACTGACATCACTTCTTCTAAGACAGATTTGTTTGTTCTTCTAACAGTCCAGTATAGAGGCAATATCCTTCCCCCACATCCCAATTCAAAGGGAACTCTATGGGATAGTTCTTTTCTGTGTTGTAGGGTCACTGTGCATTGGCATTGATTTGATGACAATGGGTTTTGGATTTTTAATGATATTACTGAAAAATTCAATTTCTAGTTTCTCAAAAATACAGAGCAACACTAGTCAGGAATTCTCATTAGATCAGTGACAGATTTTGTGTGTGTGTGTGTGTGTGTGTGTGTGCGTTTACCATCAAATCATATCTGACTGGTACAAAGCATCTGGTGGATTCAAACCGTGTACCTCTGGGATTGCAGTGCAGCTTCTTGCCATGAGGCCAACAGAGCTCCCTCATAAAATTCCCTTTTAAAGAAGATTAAAATGCCTAGCTCATCACTGGTCCATGTCACACACCTTATGCATTTGTGGACACCCTGACACAGAGCAACTCTCAGGTAACTAGTTTATAATAACAAAAATACAGAAATATAGACACAGTGGAAACTTCTCCTAGACACAAAGAAATTACCTTGTTAAGTGCTTCCTTTTGTCTCTTCTAACACGAGTAGAAAAGGAGAAACTTTTTTTTTCCAAAAACAAAGTAAAAATGGAAGCAATTCGATGTGAATCAACATACACATAGTTACTACTTACTATAGTTAGTTGGTTTTTTTCACCAAAACTACACATCATGACAAAGGACAATTTTATGGTGTCACTTTTAGTCAACTTTGTAAATCTACTTTGTTTCAACCATTTCTATTATAAAACCAAAAAGGAAACACATTTCAGGTAGCATCATTGGGACAGGGTTAAGTCGCTGATATTCCCATCATGACCTTGAGTGGGACATCTGTGTCTCACTGGCAACTTTTTTCCTTTTCCTTTTATTATCAGAATGAAACCTTGTGAATCTTTGTTCTGCCAAAGAAACTGAATTGCAAAGGAACTGCAGAGTCTTCACTTACTAAAAAAGCAAACTATCATCAAAAGCTGTCATTTCATTCTTGCCTATGGAAGCAGACTATTTATGGCCTCTTCTGTGGCAAGCACTAATATGATACAGTTACTCTGTGGATATTAACTATATCAGGAATTTCACCCTATAGTTCACCCACAGTTTGAAGACTTAAAAGGACTAATTATAACTATGCCAAAGGGGAAAATGTGGGGAGGAAGTGCTAGAGAGAGACAATGCCTACAGTATCATATGAATAGGGCAGATAGAAAAAACAGAAATGCTATTCCATGACCTCAGTCTGACACTCAGGGAGCTCAACTCTCTAATCAAGAGAAGTCAGAGAATCACACATGAGGAAGAAAACTAACGTTATTCAAAATTGTATCAGTTCCTGTTCTGTATCTAGACTGTATCACTGTCAATATCCTGTTTGTGATAATGTATTGTAATTGACAGGATGTTATCACGGAAAGAAACTGGGTTAAAGTATATGACATCTCCCTGTGCTATTCCTTATATGAATGATATATGGGATCTAAGGTATCTCAAAAGAAAAGTTTAATTAAAGGAAAAAAAAAAACCTCTTTGGTTAAGTTTGTTGCCTACTCACTACTGTATATTTTTCTACACTATTTGCATTTTGTTATCTTGAGTGTATTTCTTCTATTTAAATTATTTTTAATTAA